TCACAATTTTTTTAGAACAAAACAATTCAATTGATTAAATATGAGGAAATTTGTAAAAATATTATTAAAATTTAATGTATTTTGAGAAGTAACCCATGTTTTAAAAATTTTGAAAACTAACATTTTCATAATAGAAATTATCAAAATACCAAAATAAACTTGATTTATAAATTATTCTTAATAATAAAAATATCATCATTTTTAGTTTAGTAAATGTTAATAACAATAAAAAATTAATATCAAAACATATGAATTTGATGTGCATTATTGTTTTTTGGAACATATGAATTCTAAGTTTGATGTGAATTGGTTTTCTAGAACATATTCATTTACTATGTTTATCTTTGGTGATTGTTTAATTTGAATTCAAGGTGTAATTTGGGATTTGGTATTTCTATGTTTTATGCTTTTTTGTGTTTTATGATTTTGAACTTCTCATTTCAACTTAATTGTTTTTGTTTTTTGTGAACATTTCAATTGACGAATTCACCAATAGATCTCGTAACACTTCTCTATTTTAAAATCTTTTATTATGTGTAAAGAGATATGGATCAACATTATCATGTCATAAGTTAATTACCGTTCATTTAGGAATATGATCTATTGATTATAAACCTGGAACAATTTTTTTACAAATACGACTATATAGCAATATCAATATATATATATATATATCTGTCAAATATGTTTATATTTAAATATAAATTTAGTTTATTGTAGAGATATTTAAAAATTCTTAAATATGTATTGATCAAAATTTAGTTGAAACTAGAAAATTTTTTATATACATATATGTTTTTATTATAAATTCTTAAACAAGTATATTATTGTCCTTTAGTCCAAGAAAACAGTTATTTTCCAAAGTTTTCAAAACATGGATTACTTTTCAAATTTAATAAAATTTTCGGAATAACAAACCAAATGTCCCAATAAATATTTGGTGTGAACAAGCTCACCTTATAAGGGAAATCAATTCGACACAAACTCCTTACATGTAAAAAGGAAAAAAACTCGTGTATAAGCCTCTTTCGCGACATAATCCACAAAGACATTATTATAACGTGAAATAAAATTAAAAAAAAAATTGAAAAATCAGAAAATTTTTCTTTAAGAAACTTGAGTTCATTTAGATTTGAAGAGAAAGTCGGCCAGTTACGACCTGAACCTAGCATTTTCAAAATCTCTAAACAATCCAACTCAAAAACGATAGCATGAACATTCTCATCAAATACGCCTTTCATAGGTCAATCTAACACCTCCAAGTTAACATGCAAAGGAGATAAACATCTTCGCGATCCTTTCAAACCATTACATAGGAGCAATTTTGAATCACCAAGAGTAGCTGAGCATCCGTTGGATCAAAAAGATGTCGAACATTTTCAACTTTATATTCCTTCGTCTTAAAATCAATGAAGTGATTCACATACAACATTTGATCTTGGTTTACATTTAAACTCCTCGTCTTACATGTCGTGATGGTGGAGAACCAAGAATTACTCCATACCTTTGTGTTAAAACCATATCCAATGGTTCTTCGGAGACTTAGTTTTAACAACGGTTAGGCAACACAAAATACTTTTCCAACCATAAAAATGATAGTTCTTTTTTTTTTTTTTTCGTCTCACAATTTCACAGCAGATTTGAGTAAATAAAATATCTTATTTCTAAAAACTTGAGCCAAAAAAAAGTTTGGATTCCAAGTTAGTCTCCGCAATCTACGAATATACCTAATCTCACATAGTTATTAAGTAAGATAAAATACGTCCAACAAGAGTGATTAAAAAACTGATATAAATGCAAGTTGAACCAACTACAGTATGTCACTTGGTGGAGACCCATATATTGAGATTTTTAAACGAAGATCGCATAAACGATTTATAACGACCCATATCTATGTGGATATGTACATACTTAATTACGTTTATCTATGGACAATACAAGAAACGTCCACAAGGGACGACTATGACACTAACAAATCAATTACTATAATATCCACACAAAAAATGTCATAGATTTGGTTGATAATTGATTGTTAACTAAATTACTTATTCCTATACACTAGATTTTTAACAAACTGAATAACCGAAGGATTTTTTGTGTTTGTGTGTCACTAAGTTATATTGATATATTTAAAGATAAGTGTCACTAGCTAGGTAAATTTAGAGCAATATTTTTAAAACCGAACCAGCTACCGAACTGGAAAAGCTCGTGGATCATAGGTCAATGTGATCCAACCAGATTTAATAAATTTTAAAAATATATATAATTAGTTATGTTCTTTTCTATCAATTGACTGTCATGAACAAACATATATAGCCTTTAAATATCAAACAAACGTTTTATTGCAAAACATTTCAATAATTATAATAACTGGAATAACTGTAGTGTTGAAAAAAAATACTTTAGTAGTTTCGGTTTTTTTAACACTAAC